GCTGTTTTGTTGTATGGCTGTGAGACTTGGCCTATTCGAGCAGCGGACCTGGGACGTCTTCAGGTGTTCGACAATCGTTGTCTCAGAATCATAGCTCGTGTGGGTTGGTGTCAGCGAATCCGTAACGAGGCAGTTAGAAAGCGTGTTTTCAGTTGTGTAACGGGTACTTCCATTGAAGAATGTGTCCAGCACCAGAAGCTGCGTTGGTTGGGACATGTTTTACGCATGCCGAACCATCGTTTGCCGAAGAGAGTACTGTTTTCCATGCCCAATTCGGAGTGGCGTAAACAGAGAGGTGGCCAACCCATGACCTGGCAGAGGAGTATGAAGGAGATCATGAAACGCTTGGGTGCTGTCGGTGCTACTTGCCTTCCAGGGTGAGGACCGCGTATTCCTCACTGTACCTGGTTGGAGATGCTACAAGATATGGCTGCCAATCGATGCCAGTGACGTTCTTGTTGTCAGTTTCTATTAAGATCGCCTGAGTGAGTGTCTGGAGGTATAGGCGCCTCGGAATGATTGTGGTAAGCTAGCAGCAAGTCCCTTCCCCGTCCACCTTTACTCTTTTCTTTACAATAAGGCTTTCAAATAAATAATGGCTGTACGGCAGTGAAGCATCGGTGTTGAACACTGATGTTATGCTGTCGATGATGATTATGATGAACTATGGAGCAATACTTCCCTGGTACACACGACTATCCGGGTTCGGTGAAATTCTGTTTGACATCATCAATGACGCAGTCTGGTAAACCTTAGTATCACCTTCCTGATGAATGCATCAAATGTTAGAGTACAGTTGCGGCTCATGAAGCAACCAAGTTCCTCACCTTAAAGTTTGCACTTTGAAGACGTCGAAAGAAAGGACTATTTGGGGATTTTATCTACAGTAGATTAAGTGGACTGATATCGCGAAGTAAAAATATAATGTTGTCCGCGTAGTCCGAATCTACTAGTCTTTTTCAGGTACCATACTGATTACAATATTCTCGGTCTCTTGTAACGAACATTCCATGCCAGCATCTTTTACTAAAATGTCCTCGTAGAATATCCAGTCGTTGTAGGACAAAATTTTGCAATCCCTGCTTTTTTACGTGTCAGCGTATGCGCTGATAGCCGGCAAAGCATAAGGTGAAAAAATGACTTCCATTTGGACCCTTTATGATAGCGAAACGCGGTGATAATGATGATGATGATATGAATATCCAAGTCCGTCGACTAGATCGGGCGGTCGTTTCGGAGTTGCTGCTCACCGCACATAATAGCGAGGAGCTATCGCTTGGAGGCCACTAACCGTAGATTGGACACAGACTTATCTGGTTCACGAGATGATCAGTTAAAGGTAGTGAGGATTACATAAAAATTCTCACTCCTTCTAGAGCACACTAACTGTCTGACTGTACGATTGTGTGGGCACAAGTAGCAGTTCACCTTGTCTCCAGGTCATTCACAGCGACGCACTCAATCAACTTATCAACCTCTAAATGGCTTCAGGAGCTCACTAGCAACAGCCTCACAGGAATATATTGGTTGAATGACTACTGGTTTGCTGCATCGACAATCATTTGAAGTAAACTGCCGCGGGAACCGAAAGACTTCAGGTCATCCACAAAAAGCACAGATGGACTTGAGGTTGCACTGACGAGGTCATTGGTGCAGATCGGTCACGAGCGGCCGATCAGCAGTGTGAACTCACACTTATACAGGATAGAGCGCGGCGCATCTTCAATCACGGGATCCGTACCACGTGGTCACGCATGCTGACTGACACCTATAGCAAATACATCTGGGAGAGAAGTTTTACTCACTAGGTGAATTTTACTCTTTCTCTGAGCTACTTACAGATAGCTTTCGCTGTATTGTGACAACGGTGACCACATCGGTGATTAGTTCGAGACCGAACGACTCTCATCTAGGAGCACCACGGTCGTAGCTAACAGAGAGCGCCAGGTAGCCCAGTGTTTAGGCAGCCAATTTCCTGACCGCAAGGTCTATGGTTTGAAGCCAACCTCTGCATCGCTACTGCTAACGCCTAGGCTTGGGCAACCTGGCAGTATCTCAGTCCTCGTGCTTTTCTCGGTTAGCTTGGCAGCTAGGTACCGAAATATTGTTACATTTGAAGGATTATTCCTTAAACATATAGTCAAAAACACACGTTTTCAATTTACAAGACACTGAAAGCCTGAATTATTACTCTCTTATAATGATTCACAGTTCACCAGCAAGGGGTTCCAGAACCTTGAACAGAAGTAGAGTCGAGCGCCGCGCTAGAAGTTTATATCACAGCCGGTTGGCGGTAAATATCAGGGCTGTTGTCTGCAACGAAAGCCTTCTCAATCTCCTGGGGCCTCGCAATTTACCAGCGTTCCCTGTCATTCTTCTTTATTATCCCGTGTTTGAGAGATCTGCGTGCGTCATCTTGGTTGCTTTTGTGGCAGCAATGAGGTAAGATGTTACCGATGAAGTGCAGAGTCGTCTTCTGGAGTCTTTTCCAACTGCTCCAACATCAGATGTGAATTCACACTGGGATTAGACCGCCACCTCTTTGCACAGTGCCGGGAGTTTTGCCGGTGGCACGCCACTGCCAGGCCCACTCAAGGCATCCACACCCAAATAGGACGACTAGAGTCCTCAATCAAAACATTTGGCTCAAAAGCTTAACCACAAGGCAGCGGTGGTTGGCATAAGGCCATCAGGACAGTCGACGTTTTAAAGGAGTAGGTCGCCACACACATTCACAGCCTGGAAGACTAAGGCACTGTGTTGGACTCTATTTATTAACCAACCTGGTATGTCATACGTACACTCTCCAGCATAACTCAAAGGCTCAAGGGTGTGCACAAACCGTCACATCACGGTAAAATCCAGTGTCTTCCTGATGACCCACAAGGCAATGAGAAGTTGCCAGTCTTTGTTCCATCTTACCCATATCCTTTTCTTCAAAAGCCTGATCCGCAAGACGGTGGCAAGTAGTGCTGTATTGGGGGATTCTGCCTTGAGGCAATGATCCGATAATCTGAACAGATTGGCTGCGGGAGTCTGACCTATTCCAAGGGCACCGAGACAACGGCATAGACGTTTCACTCCCCATGCTTTTACGCATAGCAGATGCGTTTGGAGCCGCATCCGGTTCTTGATAGCTCTCAGGTGTATTTGGATCATATTGGATAATTCGTCGGTGATCGCGGCCAACTGTTGGGCAGCCAGTGTGCGGCTCTTAGAGCCATCCCTCCTAAATAAAAGGGACAAATGTTGCTCCGTTCTACTCTGGTGAAAACGTTTTCCACGAGGTAGTGAGTGGCGCCTCTTCAGCATGGGAATCTGCATGACAGCAGGCCGTTTTAGTAGGATGCAAAGGACCACTTTACTCGCTCCCCAGGACATACGACGCTGGCCACGCCGCGATATTAGGAAGCATCAGGACCTACTAATGAAACAAACGTTGAGACCAGGACATCAGGGAGTGCGAGTGGCACATCATTCACGTCATATGGGACTACGCCATTCACCTGGACCAGATTGTTAACATCATTTGGTGCTGAAGGGACTAACTGAAACCGTCGCTCGGACCTTGGCAAGACTGTACACAATCCAGCTGAAGGGTTCCCGTGTGAATAGAAGAGTGCCGCCGTAAGTTCTATTTTTGAATCCGGTATAATACACCGGTGCGTTACCGACGTGCGTGCCGTTTGCTATGGCGGTTACCCATCGGCGACCCAAAGGTGGCCTAGATAGGAGCAACAAGTTCCACATAAGTCAGAATGGACTCAACCACAACGTTGGGTACAGAACAAATCTCCTAACTGCAAGGATTGCCACTAGGGCCGCCAAGGATGATGTCTTGCACAGGGTTTCACACAAGAGGTAGCTGGCAAGTGTCTGCATACGGGGTCGTTGGTGACACGCGTCGGTGGGCTGCAGATGCTTAACCTTTCCGTGCGTATCGTTATGTAGACAGTCATCAGGTATGACCCGCAAGGCTCCACTCTTGGGTACAATGTTTATTCTCGACTGTACCGGCGACCCACTTAAATTAGTGCGAACATCCTATGTAGAAAGCCAGGTGCGACGATCATTCACACGATAAACTCAATCTTGCGACTGAACCGCAGAGCTCTAGGTAACTGCCAATAAGCGCATACAAATGTATTTATTTGCTTCTTGGTAGTAAAAACGGGGGCTAGTGCACTTCGCTGACACGACATTTCACTGCGGATACCTGAACATGGAAAGGATATTGCAGTCGTGAAGCCCAAACGACCTAAAACTAAAACCTGCACGGGTCCAGGTTGCCTGCCAGCCCAAGACATGTTTGGTGTTATCAGAAGGTCAGTTAGGCAACTAACTACAAGTTTTTTTTTAGAAAAGTCGGCTACAGAGCGGAACAGCGGCGTACCCCTGTACTTAAGAAAGGAATTAGAATGAAACCCATACACAGCACGATCACACGGCTGGCAGAAGGGTGAAATATATCGATTATGAGGACGGGTTAGAGTCGATGAACGCATCCCTCGATGCTACTGCACAGTAAGGGAAACCTTGGTCACATTCCGTCATATTCTCCGTTCGCCGAGTGGCTTACGGATATCGCTCAGTTGGTTGAGGACAAAGATTTGTGATCCGTGGGCAAAGTGTATGCAGACTATCAGCGATATCCAGGCTATCGTGAGTGGATCATGTATGATTCAGCACACCAAACCCAACAGGCAACAACAACTGACTGCTACGACTTGAGAAGTTTGGACAATCGCCTCACATCCGGGTATCAATCAGTGAATCAGCGAATCGTTTGAACTCGCTGGGTGTTGCGGTGATTGACGCAAATGCCAACAGCGGAATTACAACGGAGCACCCAACGTCTGTGGCGAGGGATTACGTACGTCGTGGCGATCGATCTTAAACTGATAAGGAGCCTCAAATCAAGTACTTAATTCAATTACTCAACAGAAGACTGACACATCAAAGTCAAAAGCATGCCCATAAGAACCTACCTATTCTTTCAGGACGAGACTTTGCTGGATTCACGGAGCTGGCCACATTTGGGCGGTCTGAAATGCGTGATTCACAAGTATCACTAAACAAAGAATCCCAAGGATAAAAAGAACTTACGACTCGCCCGTAGAATCCGAAGACATGCGGAGCTAGTGTATCGGAACAAAAAGCAAAGATACGGTTAATGTGCACCTCTTTCCGGATAGTTATGTGGTCCTCTGGGACGAAAACTTAGTCTTTGAAACCCAACAAAAACGGGAAAAGGTAGTCCATTTCTTTTGCCACAGTGCCACCGGGAAAGTGTATTCGCCCACACACAAACCCGAATGGACGATTGGTCATATTTTACACTTGGGTAGATGAAGGTCATATTGCCACCAGCGGGCTCAACAGTGAGCAGCTCACTGTGACCATATGTATGCATTCGATTATGTTTCCCCAACTTTGTGGTCTCTTCAGCTATTACATGAAGGATGATCGTAAAGTGCAGACTCCTCGAAAAGTCGTGTGGTGGTGCATTCGAAAACGGTTCGGGCTATTACTAGTGTAGTATACGATGTCTGTCATTTTGATTGACTCATATGTAAGTATTGGTGATGTACAACCTTGCTTACTGGGCTCTTGGCTCATGAGCTTTATTTCTGTTTTCCATCCACAGAAATTGTCATGAACACTTGCCTTCGGAGAATCACTTTCCCCTAGTGCGACCATAGCGTGCATATAACACTAGAAGGGCAAGCTCAGTATTCGCACAATGCAATTGAATTTTCGAAAGTAATGCCGCGTCCCCGATGGACTAAAGCAATCAGTCAATTGAGCTGAGAGTACCAAGTATGGTTCAGGTCAACATCCAAGGATGCCCTGCATGCGGACTGGGGAACAAGCACATTATTACTTTTTATGAAGGGGTGGTGGGCTAAGAGCCAAAAGCAAATCATTTTTCTGTGGACTCAACTTCGGAAAAGCCTGAAAACATCTTTGCAGAACGTACACGCTAAACCAGCATGTTATGATACGTGGTATGTTGCACATTAGCGGCCACTGGTAGTGGTCACAGAGCCCAGAAAGTCTGTATCCCTTGTAGTCGTCTGGCTACCCAATAAGTTAGTTTACCACGAGTGTGCGGCAAAGAAATAAAAATAATTACGCTAGGTTGGGTATACAAAAATAAAAAGGTCAGATAAAACAGACTCACTGACAGTTGTTCTCTTTAAAATAGTTCGTCGTTGGCCCAGGTCAGCGAATAAACAATAATCTAATTTTGTTGGTCCAGAGGTCTTCTTCTGAACAGTTCCCACATATAATAGATTCTGAAGATGGTCTGAAGTGTTTCGGTACCAGAGTTAGTACATGAGACTCTCGAATGACCGCTGCAAGCGCGAGCGAAATCAGAAGAGAGAGTCGAGGCACGTGACCACGCTTGTATTATGTGAAATTGTACAAGTGCGCGTTTTTTAGTTTTTCGTATTCAAACAGAAAAACGACTATGCAGTTGATGAAATACATAGCGTTATATTGGAAGTAAAATAAGGGTACAAAACGCTGCAGCCTAGACCATCCTCTTGGTTGAGATGCAGCTCCCTCGGCTAGCGACGCGACACCGTCATTTGCAGACTTTGAGCATTGACGCAGCGGGATTTGCATCTGAGCGGTTAACTGCATGAACGGGGCTGTGGCTCTCCTGGGTCGCAGCCCCTGGCAGATATCGTTGGTGGATTGAGAAGCAAGCTATTAAATATGTGAAGAAAAATTCCTACCGCTAGGAACCGACGGATCGCTTAATACAGAGAACAGATATAAGCAGGGGAGCCACATCATCTGGTAGCATAGGCATGTGCATTCTCCAGCACAGGTGCCAACCATCCGGAATCACCTGGGTGTTTGTACCACAAAATATATGTTAGTTAACGTAGTATGACCTCACTTTGTTTCGACACTACTATAGTGCAGCTTTGGCGGTCGCGCCCCCAAGTGTCCAAAGACTAGGGCAAATACATACGCAGTTATCGGGTAAGTCACGCTATGAACGTAGTCGGCACACTCCAGGATGTACCGGTCACGGTGATACGACGTGTGCATATCATATCCTAGCATGAGCCACTCGGCATAACGGGAAATTGTTTGTATGGTGTGCTCCATTGTGCCGAATTGGTGCAAACCGTCTTTAAGGCGAACATTGGCATTCTCCAGACGGTTGCTTCTCCCATAACCAATGTCCCATAGCCAATGATCGTGCGTGTACAGACCACTTTCCGTTGATATATACAAGACGAATCGCGGATGCGTATTGCGCAGTATTTGTAGATCTTGCCAGAATCTTTGTGCTTGTACGGCATTGTCCGAGCGGACCATGTGGTGACGCATGTATACCGGCTGTTAGCAGAGTGGATTTTATGTTATCTATAGTGCTTCCTGGTAGCTTTCATGATATGGAACTGGCAGAAAAAACGCAGCCGGCATTCGTAACGACAACTTTTTCATGACGAACGTCTTCACGGAATACTGTTACATTCATCCTTTCCTTGAATAAGTCAAACGGTTCCAGTATAAGAGCAGATAAGTTGCTCTTTACAAGGATGTATATAGCCGGACGCCCGGTCTCCATGCCACTCGTGATCAGGAAGGTTTACAACTTGAATCTGTTGTTTGGAAAACTTACCAAAAACGGGTTGTCGCGTGTTTCCCGTCTACATTTACCACATCTGAAAGCATCAAAAGAACTCTATCTGCTGCCATATCCGGTAAAATGACTTCCCCCGACTACCGCACACGAACGCGTGTAGTCTCTCAAGGCTTTTCCGGGAGTGAAGGCTTACCATCTGCCAAAACAAAACAAAACAAAACTATGCGACACTCACTCAGCTGAGCTGGTCAGCATTTGCGGCGGCAGCCCTATATCTCCAGTGTTAAGGATCTTACCGAGTTCATCGACCATCTGCCAAAAAAAACAAAACAAAACTATGCGACACTCACTCAGCTGAGCTGGTCAGCATTTGCGGCGGCAGCCCTATATCTCCAGTGTTAAGGATCTTACCGAGTTCATCGACCAGAAACTCCCGCGCTTCACCCGACGAGGTTTCATACCTTAAGAGGGCTCTGCAGGTGTCCAGTCTTTCTGGTTATCCGAAAGCCGGTTGCACGAGAACATAAGACTTATGGTTGTTTAAGATGAGAAAAGATGACAGCAAGTTGTCCTAGCGCCCCTTGAAACAAAACCACACCAGATAACCGGTGCTTTACATACTGTTTTTATTAAAGAAAATAAGCCTAATGGTTCCTTTAGATTCCCAGAGCTTCCGTTTATTTTGCAGGTCGACTGCTTCGTTTTTATTGCGCCACTTGTAATGCGAAACGGCTTTGTTGCGTTGATTTCTGGATGAACGCACAAATAACACATGGTCATCCTTGATGTATTCATTTAACGCCTTCTCAACCACCGTGAATCATGGGAAGGATAAAGCCCCGAGTCTCTCAATGAACGTATTTGAAGCCGATTCTGAAGCCACAGCACAACAAGTTCGAGGTCAACTGTGTGATAAAAATCTAAAGAGGAGGGCAAGTCGCAAAACGCGATGCTAGATTAGGGCGGTTTTCGGTATGAAAGAACATGTAACATTTTCGGATGAAGGGCTTTATTTCACTCGTGAAGGTTTCGCAGAAAAAGAACATTGCACGACAGGGGCGCGGCATATTGCAGACGCTCGTTTATGCCTGAATTCTTTGTGCTTTATACCAGACCAATTTTCCTTCCCTCCTTCTCATTCATAGAGTCTTCATGGCTCATTCTGAAACTAATGGAAGAAGACATTCTGGCAGGGCAGCTTATTTATTGGGCCCCGTCATCCACCGAAGGTGATGACGTATCGTGTTTATGCTTCCTCCAGCCTCTGGACCTCCCGTACCGTCCGTTTCTCCGACCGGAATCAGCCGCAGAATTTCACGAATTGGGCTTGATACTGTTTTAGTTCAAACCAGCTCGATCGGTTGGTATTAACATAAGGAATGTAACCCACTTTCGTGGTGGAAACTAACAATCTCTCCTGGAGCAAATTATCACCTAAGGGGCCCTGAGGATAGACGATGTCGCAGAACTGGTAGGCCTTTGCAGCAACGGCCACAGAACTCCTCCCAAGATCCTCTCCTTTGACTGCCCCAACACTTGCACTGCATCACAAACGACGATCTGAGATAAAAACAGCTTCCTCTGTCCTATCGACCGGACAATTTTCTTGCATTCTCATCGGATAAAAATCCTCCACTGTATATGACGAATGTAACAGTCATATTTTCACTCTCGAACTTTTGTCGTGCAGGCGCTTCTAGTATCACTGCCTTGGAGGCATAAATACGAAGCCTGGATTATTCATTCCAGTGGTCATCGAAAAACGGCCTACGACAATTTTCTGACCATGTTCGTGGTCCATTTGACGTGTCGAATCTCACAAGTGCTGGCTCAATTCCGGTGTATACGCAGAGGGATGCCATGAGGCGTGATGAGACACATACTTCCAAGAAGCAGCCGCCAAACTACTTGCCCAGGCCTAAATGAAGTTCTTCGGCGCAACACGCTTGTAAGTAACGCCTGCGTTTATCCGTCTTTGTTGGCAATTGGCCAACAAAATCAAGCGGTTTATCATGCTCTGAGATCCAGTTTGCGTGAGAATGGCCCTTATATCATCGTGGAAGTGTACGCAGCCATGGACACTGACGATTTCAAGTGACTGTTCGTCCAAGGACATTCGCCGGTTTTCTGGTATTTGGAAGGCTGTGTCGGCAGTTTGAGTTCACAAGCACATCGAGACATAATCCTGGGAATTATCGTCCCTTCGGTCAAAATCAGTGTTATGCATAGAATCATGGGACTATTCAGGAAATCCGGAACAGTCTACCATTGACTGAATCATCGAGCTGTAAACAGAAGCTGACACAAATCTGTGTGGGTGTGTTACAGTCTCATTAGTTATCTGGCATTTTTCGGAGTGGCTGTCAAAATCAGGTCGTCAGAACTTTACCGCAGGCCATCGAGGTTTTTCGAAAAACTTTGGCTTTAGTAACCACTACCTTTTAGTAAACGCGGTCACTTCACTGGGACCAAGGCCCGGGGAT